ATGAGATGTTTGAAGGTCGAAACGATTGTTTAACATTTTGCTTTACCAAAACCATGTGATCTATACTTTGTACACTAAACATAAATTTTTTGAATAATTAAAATTTGCCTTATTTACAAGGAGAATGTCATAAATGTTTTTTTTAGATGTTTATGAAACTTAATAAATTTATACCTTATTTTCTTGAAAACGACTGCATACCTAGGAGTTTTTTTTGTTATAAAAGCCCCATATGTACGGTCTATAATTCAAGTAACAAATCCATATAAATTAATTAAGTTTCATGAACGTCTAAAAACAAAAATCTATGGCATTCTCCTTGTAAATGAAAATAATTTTTATGACTATTTAGTAATAAATAAAACGAAAGTATTTTAGTTACTTCGAGTTATAATGAATTTGACATATTATGAATGACATATTAATTACAGTGAATCGAATATTTTCTACAATATCAATTTGGCCAGGATTATTCTACATAAAGATAACATAATCGTCTTATTTATTTATTTTTCTCATTAATTATTTTTTTAAACTTTTTATAATTCGCCATAAAGATACCTTTTGTTCGTGAGTTTAACGAGTTACGATTTAATGAACGAATGATTTATTGGCAAATAGGGGTAAAAGTTATCATAATATATTCAATTTCTATCGAATAATATTTTTCACCTATTTCATTTCGCAACTATGTAGAAAATGATCGCGATACATGCAACCATATTATTAAGTCAAATTTACATTGTTTTTTCCCGTTCTTTTTTTCTGTTTTTTTTTTTCCTTATGCGATAAACGTTAATACCGTTCGCAAAAACGAAGGTTAATTTATCAAACTATTACCAAATGTTCGTTATGCTCCAATTCTCATCGACCGTTTTTTTCAAAGTTATTTCCAAAGTTTTGTCTAATCCCTGTCTTTTCCCGCAATTTATATTTTAAGAGAATAAAAACGTATTTAAAAATCTCACGGTACGTGATATTAAAAAAATTATTATTATCTTTTTACGCGTAAAATCATATTATCGATAAGAGACGTTAAATTGCTATGAAAGATTATTTAAATTCGTTGTGTATAAATCATTTTAATTATATATATAATTAATTATGTTATTTCATATTTATTCTTGAAAAAAAAAGAAAAATTAGAATTTTTAATTCAGAGAAATGGTATTAATGGTATCATCTTGTCTTATAATATATAAATTTGGATTTAAATAATAATTTTTTGGAATATTATATATAAATATAAAATATTAATATACCAAACAAAAAAAAAAAGTGTGTGTCAACGGCCTGATCAAATTGGATTTCTAACGTAATAAGTAAAATCGATGGGTAACCCATTTGGAAAAATAAAAACTGTATAGAAAAGTGGTAAAAAAGAAAATAAAACACGACCTTTTTAGTAGTATGTATTGAATAAGCGTGAGAAAATGTTCGTAGAAAAGTAACTCGAACCCGTAAAAGGAATAATACAAAAAATACAAACAATATAATGAAAATTGATTTACATTACGTATGATATTAATAATATTTGCATATAATTTAATTTAAAAATATATATTATATATTAAAAACTTGTTTTGAATACGAATAGTTAAGTATACACTCATACGTACATGCACCCTCTTTTATTGATCATTAAATATCGTCTGTTGATTTAAAACCAATGAAATATCTCATGAAACTAAAAGTATAACAAAATTAAAAATCGATAATTAATTCAATTCACAATCAGAGAAAGTTACGTTTATAATATCCTTCGAAATAGTTTAAAGATAAAGAAGAAGAAAAAAAGATTATACAAACAAAAGTAATATGAAATTTTTTTCTCGAAAAAACTTGTCTCACGATCAATTTCCAATCTGAAAGACGGTAAGATTTTATAACGTGTTGTTCTAACACAATTACTTAGAATTAAATCATTAATCCGGAACTAGAATTTATAAGGTATCAAACAAGGTCCAGTTAATTTTAAACTTTAAAAGCTTTGACATTGATTGATTCCGCATACCGATTCAAAAATTATCTAACGAGAAAAAAATTCCTACCAATAATTAGTAAATTAGAAAATAAAAATGAATGAGAAAATATTTTATCATATTACAAAAATATTAATATTATTGTATTAAAAAATTAACTATTAGTATACTCGTCTATCACAGCTAATTGTTTAATAATCGATATTATTATAATTAACTTTCGTAAAATTTTATGTAAAGAGAAATGATCTAGATAATATTATAATAAATTATAGATAGATAAAAATCGATCGATACAAATATTTAATATTTTATTAATTATATTAATAGCTGTGTCGTAAATCGAATGAAATTTAATTCAATATTATTCGTTAGAGTTGATTAATGGAAATAAAAAATTATTCAGAATTTATATTATTAAAATTCAATGTACTAATTAATTAAAAATAAGCACTAGTTTCTTTAGCGATTTTTTCAAATAATTATGACTCATGACAATGTTACTAGAATCAATGGTTCAGTTACAACACTATACTTTACCGTGTAGAATTTATTTTAACACTGATTATACTGATACTTCAATCATGCGTAAATTAAATTTCCTTTCGAAATGACATTAGCCTAATATCCATTGGAATATATGTCAAATGTCATATGCCCTTATAACGAACGTGTTAAAGAAATATAAACTTTAACATCTTATCAAATGAAATTTATAAAGTACGTGATTAATTAATATATATATATACCAATTACGTGCTTTATCAATTATCGAAAAAGCGTTTAATTATTAATTAAGTTAAAATATATCAAACAATGTTCCCATCATTTACAAATTATGTTTTGATTCAATTGTAAATAAAGATAAAAAATATGCAAGACAGACCATCGGCAGATTTAAATTGTAATAATATAAACAACCATTCATTATCGTTTTAAATTACAAACAAATTTACAGCTAATTTTATAATGCAATTATTTTAAAAATAAATCATTAATCAAATATCCGATAAATTCCAGATAATAAAAAAAGAACAAGCTTCGAATAATGCGATCCTTTTGTTTTTTATAAACATGAAATAAACAGTTTAATCGATGACAACAACAATCGATAATAATTCCAATAATTCAACAAAGTGAAAAATAACTACTCTAAAATTTTTCATTTAATCTACTTTCATATATATCTCCTTTTCAATGAAAAATATCTCTCAGAGATTGAATTTTAATCATCGTACCTTTGATACTATCGTCTTATGTGATCAAAAATCTTGATAATACATCGATATTAAACGAAGTTTATAGATTTATTATAGAATGTTTTGTGCTAAATTTAATCAGATTTATTGCACAAATTAAAAAATAATAATAATAATAATACTAAGGATAATAAAATGAACACTGATACAGGTACTCGTAGCACTGACAGATATTCAAAAGATATCTAATTGTAAGACACTTCCCTTTTCGGCCACGATTAGGAACTAGTACTAAATGGGAACTGAACGAACACAGGAAATTGTTCGATGCTTATAAGCAACGAGAGAAAGTACAGAGACGTTGGTTGATCAGTCACCCCACGCTACCAAAAGCTCTCTGTCTACGTACAAATCCGTCAATGTTCCTGCAATTATATCAATACTTGAGCAAGATTTGTTCAAGAGCATTCGTAACTACTTCCAAGAAATATCAACAAGGAATTTTGTTCCTGAATCTAGTTTGGTTATCTTTGGAACGTATGGAAAAAAAAGAGAAAAACAAAAACACAGAAAAACATATTGATTTTAATTTTTAATTAATAGAAAGAAAAAAGAAGTATGTGTGCGTGTGAATAAATGAAGTTTCTTTCGTTTGGAATTATTTTTACTATCCTCTGATTATTTAGCTTTTTTTTTTTTAATCTATAATTCTAATTTAAATATATTTTTATCTTTACATCGTTCACCCTTCTTCTTCTAATTCAATCTTTTTCCTTGGACTCATTTTTCCATTCTTCCATTCCTTCGAAGTTCCTTTCTCCTTTGTTCTCTCGTGCTTAAACTTCGAACATTTTATATCTGATTTCATCATGGTATATACTTATTCATTGAATTTAATGTTACAATTGTTGGGTTTATTGTTTAGATAATTACATTAGTTGTGTTAATAAAAAATGTTCCCATTATTACTAACAGTTTTGATATAATTGAAAAAGGTTTTGATCAAAAATGAAATTAACCTGCAGGGGACAATTTAAAGTTGATTTCCAAAGTAACAACCTATAGAGTAGTGAAAAGAAGTAGGTTAATTGTTCATAATGTATAAACAATAGGTATAAATATTTTTTAAATAATAATTTTTCTTTTAAATATATTCCCTGCAGGTTTACTTTCATTTTTTTCAAAGTGCGCTGGCGCCTTGAATTTGTGGTTGCGCATGCGCATAACATATCTCCCACTCATGACATCGCCATATCATAATTATTCAAACTGTAATAATTATTTTCAACTAATTAACGATAAATAAAAAATATTTCATAAAATAAAATTTAGCAAATCGTGAATAATTAAGAACACTTATTCATTTTTTTCTGCTGTTGCAAACTTCATTGCTTGGCTTAGAAATAGGAAAACCAATTTTTTTATTTGCAATTATTAATAACTAATTAAATAATTAATTAATAAATTGTAGCAATTATGGATTTTGATTGAGCAAATAATGTGCAATTAAGAGCAGTTATTTATTTTCTTCTGCTGTTAAGGTTTTTAGCCAGCGTTTCTACGGTCCAAACTGATCATTAAATAATGGAAAAGAATTTCTTTTTTAATATTTCTCAATTTATATTTAATGCGCTTTGGTCGGTAAAATAGAAAACTATACTTTAATAAATTGAATGCATTGTAAGTTCATTTACAATATTATTATTTATTTTTTTTTTTGTAATCTTTATCTGTATAATTTTTTTTTTTATATAAACGCTTTAATAATTCAAATGACATTAAATTAATGTAACTGTGGAAGTATATAAAAGACGAAATAATATATTTAATCCTTTATTAATTTTCGCATATTACGAAGTAATGTTTAACCATAAGAACTCGATCGTACAAATCATTCAACGATACTTAATTATTTTCCTTAAAATTAATCAGTCATATCCCATGGTTTCACATAAACTCAATCATTTTCACATTAAACTCCCATAAAATGTCAGCTTATCGAAATTTCGTACGAGTTTGCGAAAATACGTCATCTAAATATAATAAAAATGCATTTCATTGTATTTACTGATAACTTCAATCGGTTCAACTTAAGAAAACAAAGAAAGATTAATATCTTATTGCAAAAAATTGCCATAGTTTGGTTTTATCATTTCGGCATTGACGCTTTGCTTCCCTGAGGTATACTAACTTGTTGAAAAGAAAAATTACTTTATTTTTTTTTTTGCTTTTTATGATAATAATTTTTTAAAATTCCGAAAAGAAGTAACAGTTACAATATTTTTTTTTAAATTTAAATTATCCAGAGAATTAATATAACATATATATCTATAATGAAAACAATTAGTTCTTGAATGTTCTTAATCTTGAAAATAAATATTTAAAGAGATTGTGAAATAATTTATAAATGAAATACTTTGAATTTTAAACATATGACAATGATTCAACAAATCGATTAATGTTCCTACCTAAATTATTGTCATGCCGTAGAGGATTTTTCCAAACAGATATTACTAAATGAAATGATGAAATTTAGCCATGCACTCAATGTCCACTCGTTGACATTTATATCACATGCCTATCATATACACTATATGTACACAGATGCGCGTCCATCTTATAAAAATTTTTGGAATTTTACATTCTCGTTGTTAAATTTTACGTGTTGACATTATCAATAAAAACTGAATAATCTATAAAGAAATGAAATATTCAAGCATTTATATAGCAATGAATGTAATAAGTAATTTATACTCGAGAATTAACTTATATTAACGTAATAAAATCAACGAGTATATTTAATTATTTCCTTTAAATTATCCTCTATTTAGTTAATTAATTAGATGTACGCGCTCCTTCGTATTGCTATTCTTATATTATTATTACATGGTTAACACGCGTAAATAATGTTCTGATCGAGCAAACAGCTCACTTTGAATATATAATTATTTGCGCGAGGAAATGTTATGAAAATTGTTTCTTTCTACGATAGTTATATAGAGTCCACTTTCTCGATAACTTGTGAACTTATTTTTTCTTCTTATTCAGCTTATTCTTTGCTGATAATTCCTCCTTTTTTAATCGACTAGTCACGTGCTTTTTCACCGTATACTCGTGTACGGTTTTCCTTTTTTTTTTATTATTATCGCACTAACATTAGCAGCCGCTTCATCCTGAACCAAGTTAGCGCGACCACCATATAATTATTTTTATTATACATCCCCATTTAAATCTGAGGAAACAACACTCCAGAACATTGGAAACGTAAGACACACGTCACAATGACATCACGAAGATCTCAAGACATCAATCACGCCTCTACTTTTTATTTCTTTTCGCCAAGCCCAACCTTGTTCATGGATGAGCCGGCGCTACGCGGTAATGTGACCAGCCAATTAATGAATTTGTTCAACGATACGCTTTGGCCTTCTCGGCCCATGCAAATAGATCCATGCTTGGTATTGCTTCGAAATCGTTACAAGAACGGATTTCATTTCTACAACAAAAAATTAACATATTAATAGCATCATTATTATATATTTCTCTATGGTAGAAAAAAATTGTTAAGAAATGTAAATTGTCCAATTCAATGTTAACTTACCCTTCTTGCGGTTTAAGGAAAACATTTGGTTGCATGTTTTGAATATTATCCCCGTTATCGCAGAATATTCTCGCTAAAGTAACGTTACGTATTTCTGCCAATTGATCTGTGAAAAAGAAAAAGAAAGAAAAAACGTATAAATACAATGAACTTAAAAAATTATGAAAAAAACGATGTAAAATTAAATGAAATAAGACATTTTACCTAGCGTGAAAGGATATGGTTGCATAGCTGAATCGTAGAAAAATCTATCTGTTCTAAGTGTCCTTGCAAATTGTTCCATAATCAAACATCTGAAAGTGGGACCAAGGAGTCCGTCATTGGCTGGTCTTTCTGCCATACCACCGATTACAAGATCCACATCATTGGGATGAGTATAAACGGAGCGTAATTTGTTTACGAGCTGTGTAAAATAATAAACGAAAAAATTAAATATACATTTATTACAATACACACATTTGTATTTATATAAGTTAAATTTCATTTGAATTTAATATTTAATTTACCTCGGTAGGAATGTAATCGAGGAAATCATGGAAATTCTTGGCAGCAGGTAATCCACAATGTTTTCTATAGTAATTATATCCAGGCAAACCGTGATCACGACCACGTTGTATGTCTAAGCTAATGACATCTAAACCGAGATCATTCTTATCCTTCGTATATAATTTGCTTGTAATCTGTAAAAGATTAGACATATATAGTAAAATATGTAATTATATAACGAATGCAAAATAATGAAAGAAAAAAAAGAATAAAAAGGGAGAGACACTAACCTCAGGAATGAAACTTATGTCCATCTTCTGACTGGTCTGAGTTGAAAGACCACGAAGTAAACCGTTAAATACTTCGTCGGATTCGATCACTCGCGGATTAAAGAAATATTCTGACAATTCTAGAGACTTAGCACTTAGACGAGAATTATCTGGCAAACTGTAAAGTAAAATAAAAATATTATAAAAAGTACTCTTGATTAAAGAAAATATGATACAAAATATAATTGAAATCAAATAATATAAGAATTGATTGTAATAACTTACATCAGTCTTCCTTGCATAAGTGAATTCAAGAATCGTAGGGCTGCTGTAGCTGCTTCATTAGTAACTGCAGGATCGTCCTCAGAATTATATTTTCTGTTGTAACCAGTACCAACAGTTAGTCCTAAGGCTCGAACACTCATCTTGCCCAATAAAATGGGCAACCACTCTTTATAAGTGATATGCTGAATTTCAGCAATGACAATACGTCTAGCCTCCTGATATAGGATTTCATCCGTCCAGCTAGGATTCAATTCAGCAAGTTTCCTAGCAATGCGATTATGTTCACGATGCCAAATTGTATGTATTACAGCTAGCTGTGGGTAAATGTTGACACGATCATCACCTATGGAATTTATAATTATCGTTATTGAAGTTATTAATAAAAAAATCAACACAATTATTAATAATTAAAACATTTAAAACAAAAAAAAATACAAAACTTACCAGAATCATAACAGCTTCCTTTACACTGGGAAGTAACTTCAGCATCGCTTTCAGATGGTAAAAATTCATGACCATTACGAACATCTACGCGTAATCTACCACCTTGGAATTCTCGTAACTCACGAGACTTCGTTAGAACGGATCCATAAATCGTGGACCCATCCAAAAAGTGAGTCACTTGATTCATCTGAAGACAAAATATACAAATAAGAATTTTGTTGGCGAATAAAAATATGAAAATAGAATGAAATATATAGAATGTTGAATTACTTGTTCCAAGGGTCCAAAAGTGCATTCCGATCTCAAAACTGGTAAGGAACGTACATAGTTCATACATCTAACGTATTGGGTGCCATATACAGGATCTCTATCCGGTACAGTGATAGCTGCACAATCTGGATGTACATGACGAGGAGATAAAGCACTCCCATCCGTTTGGCAACAAGAAATTGGTTTTCCTGATGAAACTGTGCAAACCAATTCGTTTTATAAGCATCTAATGTAAACGTTAAAAAAGTAAAATATAACACAATAAATTTGTGAAAACTAACTCATTCTGCGGACAGGAGTGTGTATCATATCGTGGGAAATGAATTGGCTCCATTGCATGACGGCAAGAGTTTTGGTGATATCGGATTGCCCATTATAACCAACCACTGATGCGCTTATTGTTCTCGCACTTGGCAATGGTTTCTTCGTCTGTCCTACGTTCCTTGGTTCTTGAATGCCTGGTTTCCAATACAATATTACATTAACATTTCATCATGAATATCATTTTGCATTGTCAAATCGGAGTAAATCGATGTTAATTTCTTAATTACGAAACATTTTCAAATAAATATGCTAAAGCGTTATTTTTCAAAGAAATCTTGAAAGTATTTTCACTTTTCTCAATATGTGTGCAAACAAAGCAAAAACACAGAGCGTCATTTTAATTACTCCGATTTTAACAAAGTTAACGGGTATTTTTATATGTATATAATATACATATATGTAATATTTATATATATTTATATTTAAAAGAACAGCACGAGAGAGTGGTAATAAAGTACGCAGAATTTTCATAATAGGAAACATAAGTATTGGTAAATACGCGTTTAGAGAGAAATTTTTCTTGGCCGTCTTGTCCTCGAACCTGACACTTCTCACCTAAACCTGTTTATCGTTCACCATCTATTGTTTGAGAACAATCGGATATTATCTATTTTTTAATACGATACATTTATACACAAGCTTGCTTAGAAGAAAATCATAGGAAAATCTTTTTGTTTTTTTAATCCGATTGATCTCAGAAAAGAAAGAAAAAAAGAAAGAAAGAAAGAAAGAAAGAAAGAAAAAGGAAAAAAAAGAAGTTCCAACCGATAATTTGCAATAATGTTGCAATTAATCAATTGAAGCTCTTGCTCTCGTGCTGTTAAATAAAACCGAATAAGATTATCTAGTTTTTTTACGTCGTTCTGAAGCGTCATTGACGTGGCATGTCGTCGATATAAATATGATAAATCGATAATTTTAAAGTTTAATAGTTCATATGAATGGTCACGTTATAAGCAATATAAGATAAAATTAAAGGAATGACCCCATAACATATTATTGTTATCGATTAAACATTGATCGCTGACGTCAAAACGCTCACAAAACGAGTTATCTAGCTTTATAATATTTAGTAGTATGGTCGATGAAGGCACCTAAACGAGTGAACCAAGCTGAGAGACGGACAAAACCGTAATGCGTTATTCAATGATTCCAAAAATAAAATATGATTTGCATTTTAGTGACTAATACAATATTATTTTGTCACATTTCGTAAATATAAATTTCCAATTATTCGATGTTACTCGTTTCAATGGAACCGATGATATTGAATATTAAAATTACAATGGTGACTCCCAAATTGAATTCGCTCGTAACAGGGACCTTTAACGTGAAACCGTATACCGCCATGTGTGTATACATATATGTATATATATATATATAAATGTATATATATATATACATATATATATATATCAAACAGAAAGTGTTCGAAGTAACTATTATTACGTAATTAATATGATACATTATTAGGTATATCCGAATTAATTTACATACACTTCTACTGCTGGATAGAATCTCCCGACCGGGTCACCCTATTGTAGGCAGTATTATTCACTGCTACACTCAGGCATATTATGCTCTATGTGCCTTTTATCGCACAACAACTGTAATGCAAATCACAGAATATAATTTTGTTAAGCCAATCGACGAACGTTTTTCTGCTAGCGCCCAAGGATCTGTCTCTGTGCACGTGTATACGTAGTGAATGTATATATGTATATATATATATATATATATATAGATATTGATTTTTATATATTTCCCTATAATGTGTGTTACGTCCGTTAATAAAATTGTCCTGATGAAAGTGGTGTTAGGTTGGTTAATAGGTGAATCGTTCCTTAAACAATCGTTTCAAGTCATAGGACGAAATTATGAATTCTTAAAAATCTACAAAATCGATTATACATGATGTCATGAAATTAAAGTCCTGCTATTATTTGATAATATATGTCAGCGTTAAATTGTATAATTCAATTAAATCGTGGAAATCTTAGATTTTACCTGAAATAACTAGACAATTTTGGGAAAGCATATAAAAAGAATTTTGTTATATACTTAAAGTAGTCATTTTAGGAAATAACGAAGTTATATATGAATTCACAAGAAACGTTATCTAGTTGAAGTATGTGATTATGCTTTCTTTTATATGTAAACAGGACAGTATAGTTATTTCAGGATTCATTTCACGAATTAACGGGTTTCACAAAGCAACGCTAGCATATATATATATATATATATATATATATGTATATGATAGATACCGAGGTCAATTTAGAAAATGATGCTATTACATGCGTCGAATAAAAAGCATAATTTAGTTAATCAATTCCGATTAATATTCTTTTGTAATAATCAGGAAACATTTTCCATCTTCTAGTATGTATCTAAAAATGATGTCGGAAAGAAAAAGAAAACATAGTTTTACGATTACATATTACGTCCCACGCATTGGAATAGTTTGAATAGTAAACGATGAAAGTATTAGAAGGAAAATCACATGTGGAAACAGTTTATGATTGGATAGGAAAGCGCTAAACGTTCATAGGCTGCAAATAATTATTCGATTATTAGATAACAAAAAAAAAATAATGATAATAAGTAATAATTTTTATGCTTTTCAGCATATTATAACAATTTTTCTTTTCTACAATATATTAAATGCATTTAATTGTAAAGAAAAAACGACCGGCCGAGTTTAATAAAAAAAAATAAATATTGAGCGGAAAATAGGAGACGTCATATAGCAAAATTTATAACGAGGATAAGGAAAATTCGAAAATTCCAATTAATTGGAATTTGTGAGGAAATAACGAAGATCAAAGTTATATATGAAATTAATGTTATTTCGCGTCACAAAACAACGATTATTTCGTGCGTGTTAGTGATTGTGAGGCAATTGATGGATATGAAAACCGCGAGTTTTTGAGAGTTAGTCAATGGGAAAGGGGCTAGAAAAAAAATCAGTCATTTATGAGAGCATGTCGCGTTGTAAAAAGGATCCTTACCATCGAAATACTGAGGGAAGAGGATTCTTGTATATGCAGTCATGGCACTGCCCCAGCTAGGATTTTTGATGTTATTGCAACGTCCATCAATAGTTCGGTACTTCATTTTCGTATCACAACTTGTTATTTGGGAAGCCATGCACCTGTCACCCAATGGCGTGCCATCTAATTTCAAGGTTGATATAAAGTGGGCACATTCTTCCTTAGATAGACCAAATCTATAGAATAAAAATATAAAAAACAATAAATAATAAGAATTATATAAGAATAATAATAAGAATTATAATTATATTTACATATGTTAATTTATGTTTGATCTAAGTATTTAAATTATTATATTTGACAAAGTGATACTATCCTTATTTTCATAATAGTTTGAAATAAATAAAATTGTGCAAATGTACAGCTTGAAGGATTAAAATAATAATAAAAAAATGAAAGGATAATTTAAAAAGAACTTACCGTCGACAACTTTCATGAATTAGATACAAGGAAGCTTTCGTAGCCAAAATTGCATCGATTCCTTTCTCAAAGGCATCTTCCGAAGGATACGAATTGATATATTGTTTACCAGCAATGCTATTAGCTTCAAATTGAACACCAGCATTGACAATGTTTCTTTCTAGTGTGCTCAATCGATCGACGAGCGTCGTTGCAAAATTCACCGATTCATTTAACATAGACTCAGTGATCCTGGGATATCGTCGGTTGTGAAAGAGACCTGTGTCTATGATACCCGGAGTAGTATCTGTAGATGGCAAGCCTGTAAAGAAATCTATAAAAAAAAACCGGTACACATAATTATGCATTCATAAGATCTAAAGTATTATACATTTAAATAAAAAACAAAAATATATATATCTTCATGAAAAGAACAAAATTATGTAAATATAAAAAGAGAAAATAAATATATGCATTTAAAATAAGAATAAAATTATATAAATATATAAACACAAAAATAAATTATCAAATAAATGTATTTATGAGAGAAAAAAATATATGATAATACTAAACAATTTATTCGAAATCAAATTAAATTAAATTAAATTTAATTTGATTTGATTTTATTAAAATTTGTCTAATATATTTAAAAACAATCAAATTAACCAGTAATATAGAAAATATTAATAATAAATAAAAGCAAGACCAAAATATTTACCGGTATAGCTGGTAAGATAGTTTTGTAGTGAAACAGGTAGTTTATAGGTTTCCATAGAATTGGAATAACTAAGTAGTCCCATAGATTGAAGGGATATCCATAATATTGCCAAAGTTGCCACCGATCCTGCCATGACACCGCCGGCTATTAGAAGTAAGATGAATATAAATGAGTATGCTTAGCGAATTTTCCTCTTTTTATATGCATATCTATGATTCATTCAGTATAACTATTACTCAATAATGAAGGAAAATATATTTACGAAAAAAAGATCATTGCGTAGGTCAAATCGGTGCATTATAAACAATCTTATAAACGCTGCAAAATATGTTATATTTCCCCTTCTTTATTTCTTTTATTTTTCTTTTTACTTCGTGAAATTTAATACACGTTGTCAACAAAATTCAAATGTTATTGCATCGTCGATCGTATATATGTGTACATTGAATGTGCACACACAAAAAAAATAATATTTATTCTAACGTCGCCATCACATGCCGTTATCGCGATTAAAATGAAATGCGCACAATTTCTCACACATGATACGAACAAATAAAAATAAGATAAAATAAAATAAAATTTATAAAAGATAAACGGGTTTTTTTTGCGAGTATTGTTTAACACTCTTTAATATTATTTTTATATTAATTCAATCAAATAAATATATTCCCATGGACATCTGGATCTTAAACCTTGAACTACTTTTCATGGGACTATATCAGACAAATTAAATTCAATGATCATCGATCATCGTTTAATGTTCTAAAAAATGCTACGATAGAAATAGAGATGTATATTCTTTTGAATTGCTATGACATCTAATAAATTACACTTTGTTAACCTTATATAATAACGATTTGTTATTTCAAATTAATTGTTATAAGATAGAAGATGGATAGAAGTAAAAATATCTACTTTGAGATTACTAAATTGACTTCGTAATTAAATAATTATTTATTCATCGACTATTATTTCAAATTCTTATGTAATGTATACTGTTTATATATTAACATTCAATCGTAAAACGTGCCTAAGATCATTAAAAAATCAATGACGAATGAACAAACGCGTCGAGAATACTAAAATGTTTATATTCCGCATTCGCAACGCGACAAAATTGTTTTTAAACATTTTTCCGATTATGCTAAATTTATGGCCAAGGTGAAGGACAAACTTTAACAACATAAACAAAAAACAACGATTTGAAAGAAAAAAAAAGAAACAGAAAAAAACAACAACAACATACCTCTGAGAGAGAGAGAGAGATCATTGATTGAAAAACGATTGAGACTGGTCAATAGATTAGGTCAATTAGTTTTAAAATCGTTTTATCTGATACGAAGGCTGAAGATAAGTAAGTAAATTATTAAATTATAAAATGATTGATAAACTAATAACAGTACGTGTATCATCACACCCATCTGTTTCGTCTTAAGAATAAAACTTATTTTTTTAAGCTAATTTTAAGCTAATCTAAAATACGTAAATTACGTATATGTATAATTCAATCAGTAATTTATGCGCTCAACTTTAAAACATTATAAACGTTGAAAAATATAAAATTAAATGACTCAGAATAAATGTTATCGCGAACATTTTTCTTCTCTTCTTCTTATTCTCCTTTTTTTTTTTTTTTTTTTAAATATTACCATTTTATCCTGACCTTCGCGCGAACAAACGTTTTTTCGAGATATTAATAGAAATGGAGTCGGGGGGTCGGGGGTCGGTCGGAGGTTCCAATACGCGTGTAAACATTGAGAGAATATGATTTTTATACGTCTCGTATATTTCTTATGGCCCGTCGTTAAAATGCGCGACAAAATGTGTATAAGCGTTTAAGGAACTCTCTCATTGGTGTGATGTATCATCAACGTTCATGCGTTTTGCACGTGCTTCAACGTGACATACCATATGTATATTCAATGATCATGTCTAATTTATACCCGTGCACACATATTATTACACATATATTCGTCGTATATACGTAAAATATATTCTCAAGTTGTTTATTTAAAAAGTTTTTCATTTCGCTATCGTGTCATAATATCGTGCTATTCTTTTATCGTATTATTTACATTGATGTCAATTAAAAAAAAAAAAAAATAAATAAAAGAAATACGCTTCTATAAGTGTAAATCTAAATGCCAGCTCGTAAATAAATAAATCTCCGGTGTTTAAATATCGCGATAACAGATATTTGAAGAAAATAAAAAGATGATAAGATAGTTATAAAAAAAAAATTAAGACGATTGTTATCGGAGAGAAAATTATTGAGGACAATTATCTATTCTATTTATAAAATAAGCTGACTTTTTTAAAACTTTTTTAACCTTCGGATTGATATAAGTGACTTGATTAGAAAGTTTTTCGTTTTTATACTCAACGTATATAAAGTATGTATTAAATTAGTGAAATAGAAAGGAAATAAAATTTGTATTCTACCAGTTATTAAAGAAGAAGCCAAATTTCTTATCAAAAATATTTAAATGACGATACTTAAATGCATTTCAACGCTTTAATGAATGACGAAAAAGTAAAAAATAATTGCTATACCCGCCAATTTTTTCCTAGTGAAAAAAAGTATTCACGTTTCACAATCAGATAATAAAATATTAAATGCTAATAAGTCTAGACAAATAAAAAAAAAACTAATATTTCAATCTCAATATAGGAATTCATTTGATTTTGATCACGGGAAGATGTTCGTAAATCTCTGTTGGTAAAATCGCACGTACGTGTCATATATAGCTTTCGTGTTATACCTCGTTCGTGTGAAACCGGCTTTCATCGGAAACGCGATACAACGTCTTCGTAAATTTCCGTGCACGCTCGACTATTTAAACGTGTGCGAAAGAGATAAAAACAACGGAGTATGCGCATATGGACGATTCATGTATGGTATTACCAGAAAACACATAGCATGGAAAAATACTAACTAATGATTAACCTATTAATCATGGTTAATTAATCGAGTTATTTAACTTATGGGAATAATACGAACATTTTTTAAAATCCTTTTCGAATACGATCAAATATAAAATAATCTGTATACAATGATGTTTATTATTATGTGTTTTTGACGTTTCAAAAGAGAGAGAAAAACCCCTTTTTTTAATCGTTCAACTCTGTTATAATAATTTGATATTTGAGAGAGAAAGCAGTCACGCGAACGAAGTAAACAAGACTGATAGGGTGTATCAATAATATCCCCTCTACAAATAATTAATTATAGGAAATTTATTAAACGTGTGTGTTCTCCATCAATCATGGATAAATAGAAATATTAGATTACTCGTAATGTTCGTGTCAATTTAAAAACATAAATATTCCTTATTAAAAATATCAATCAGCACGAACTTTCTGGGAAACTTAATACACACATGTATGTTTATGTATGCATTTCTTTATGATAGTTGCGAAAAATAACAAATGCAATTAAAAGAAAAAAAACAAACACAAAAAATTAATCAATTTCTTGGATTATAAAATAAAATAAAAATTCCTAACAAGATCTTGTTATTTGTTCGTTAAGGTAAATCATTATTAACATGATATTTTTCTAGAAAATAAAATCGAATACAATATGTCGCAAGGATCTAAATATCATGTATAAAAAATATAAAAAGAATGGTTACCAGGCACGTATTCCATAGGTTTCTCTAGTCCGTGCATGGCGTAGATCCAACGATTGTCGTTCACAGGTGCGACGAGAAACATTCTCAGTACATCACGATATAAATCAACGTGACCGTATAAGAAAAAAAAAACTATGATTCTATATAAGACTTTTTTCCTTCACCACTTTTAACGATCTTCAAGAAGTTTGTCTTTACGTACTCGTGTATACAGTAACGAGAAAGAAGATGCAAGTAAATACAAAGAACAAGTAAGTATTAACAGTACAGAAAAAGACCCAAAATAAAAGGGAATGTGAAATCCCTTTGTGTCAATTTTCTCAATTAACCGTTAATAAAAATGCGTTTAGGTTTTTTTTTTTCCTTTAAATATACATATACATAAATTTGTATATACACGTGAGTAGAAGAGATGTGTTGCGTCGTCGACAACGTCAGAAAACGTTGATATCGATCGAGAATTAAATGTCGATACTTATATCTAGTTATTTATCTATTTATAATTATCTATATCCCATATATAAAGTGAGAAGTTTGGAATAGTATAATCTCGCGGCGGCGTGGTACGAGAACGTTCGTTTCGTGCGCTGCCGAAGGACGAACTGAACAACGAGTTTTGCTTCGTAGCATAAGAATGAATCTCTTTCTCTTATACTAATATACTGTCTCTCTCTTTCTCACTGAGAAAGAACTCACGTTTGACCGAACGTTTGTTTTCTTTCTTTCTCTCTCTACCGTATTTAACGATATACCTGAGCTTCCCCACCACCACGCTGCGCATGCATCTTTCTCTCTCAGTCTTTCGATGAAAAACAGATCACTCGCTGAACGCGTGCTCAGTCCCCCTCTTAACTTCGCAGTGTTTCCCGTACCCCTCGTTACCCTGCTACAACATAATCCATATTGCCTGCCATCTTCTTCGACGCTTCGAAATCCATCGTTTAAATTTCATTTATCATTGCACGATTAAATTTTCTATCAAACGCGTTATCTTTGACATATATTTTTTTTCCTTTTTTTTTTTCTATGAACACACAGTGAAAGTATATAAATACTTTTATCTTTCATTTTTAATTCTTTTTTCTATTCATTATATCGAAGTATTATTTTAAGCAATAAAAAAATTTGCAAACTGTTATTATAATTTTATTTTCGTCTACGCGTTTAATTTGTTCGTTAACGATTAGATTCATATTTCAACTAATTATCAAGATATCGCGAGTTTTAAATTTTTACAATATATTACATAATATTGTAATTGTTAACGACGTGCTAAATAAATACGTATGTAACACTTCATTACCTTCATTCAAGGCTTATTGTCATTTTATTGAAATAAATTAGTAAAAATTCGTTGTTTTTTCGTTTCCGTTATAGAAAAAAAAAACTAAACAAATAAATAGCGCAGAAATATGAATCGCTAGTAAATCAATCGCTTTCATTAGAAATCGGAATAAACAGAAAACAAGCGAAATTGCATAAAATACCGCAAGGTTAGTGTACGGCGCTAGTGTTCTCTACTTGTCAAATGAAAAAAGCTCTTCTTTACTGATCGATAAATAACTAGATAATAATAAATATATATATATGTAATTCATGTATAGTATCTTACCCAAATAATTACGTTTCTTGAACAGCTCGATTCGTAGATTACTGTAGACGAAATTTAATTTTTCAACAGCCATCTTTCGTCTTTGCGGACGAATTTTTAATAACCCCGTTGCGTGATCAGGGGGATTAGTGGGGGGATACGTTCGTTTTAAGCTCTGCTTATATATTACTCGAATTATTTCCCCGTTATAATGAAATTATCGGATCGGCGTGATTCAATTTCGCCGAAATCCGTTATTTCAATATGAATCGATTTTCACGATCAAATTGTCTTTTAAATTTATGTCGTAAAAGACAACATTGAAATAAATCAATAGAGAAATAAAAAAGGGAGGAAAAAAAGAAAGAAAAAAATTATGCACTTTTCTTTTTCTTTTTCTTTTTTTTTTTAAATTGTAAGAGAATAACACTAAAATATGTATATATATATATATATATATATATCACAAAATAAAATGATATGCTAATAATTATCTGTGCGGATCTTGGAATAAATAGGAAATATAAATGAGGATCTCTAAAGCACCACCTTAACTTCCTACGATGCCGCACTGAATGTTCTCTACTGTGTATCGACCCTGTCTTCTCTTCTCTTCTCTTCTCTTCCCCCCTCCCGCTCCCGCCACACCTATTCTTTAGTATTCCAGAAAGCTCGTCAAAATCGCACATGCGCAGTTTCACTTTTGGAAAGTTTTATTTTGTCTTCTTTCCTTCGGCGTCCTTATATATAAAAATGTTCTTTGCCTATTTTCGCACTTTTATATTTGGTTACTCGTGCATGAAAATTTGCATTTTTTAAATTCACAATTTTTATATTTAACACATTTAATAATAGAAATATTTTTTTTTTCTTCGATAATATTTGCTGTATAAACTTATTGATTTTATTTTTACTTATGCTTCTCGTTTAGACTATCTTATCTAATTCATTTAACAAATTACTTGGATATGCATATGTAAATATACTCATTCGAGGAATGGCAATACACATTATTGATTTTTACTGTTCTCGGCACAGTATCGATAACGTTTAATGTTAGTAATGGGATATAAAAATAACGAAAATAATATTTCTGTAATTCCTACTTTGAATATTTATTTTATTGAGGCTCCAGATGTATTAATCAAAGGTCTGTTCTGAAAACGCTTACATGTAAATGACCGTGCTGTGTTAAATATAGTTAGTAGGTGAGAGAATATAATCTTCAACGTTAGTTGTTACATTACAATGTATCATCATAAAGTGAAACGTGATATTAAGTCTGCAATATTATCAGCATGCCAATTAGAATTTGATTTATATATATAAACACTAATACTTTCTTTCTTTGAAAAAAAAAAAAAAATTAATATACTATATACCTACATATGTATATGTGAAGACGATCACATTCAAACATTGTGATCAATATTTCTTATGATTCATATTTCTGTTAAATAAAATCGAGTATAAATACTTAACGTCAGTATTTTAAGGAAATATGGAAAAATACTAAACGACTTGTACGAATATTAAATTTCGTTATCTTTTTTCTTTCTTTTTGGTTTTTTTAAATCAATCTGATTACACAGTCATTTGCATAGATAAATTAATTTAATTTTTATTAAAATATCTTTTTAATCTTGATAAGATTAGAACATTTTTCAATGAACGAAAATTGCCACGAAAAATCTATAATTGTAAGCATGAAATCTGTTATGATGATTTCTTTTGAAACTTTAATATCGAAGCACGTGTGTGTCAACTGTTGTTAGTCATGGATTCTTCAAAGACGCAGTAGGATAAAAGAGAAATATATAAACATACAGGAGAATTGCTTGAAGAGGGCCGGTTAAACGAGCACGTGATACCAGCGTGATACCTAACCGTTCCATACCGTTCCCCTACCCCTTCACCTTCTTTTCTCTTCTTAACTGACGCCATATTTCCGTCTCATTTTCTATCTTGCTCTATCTAACACTCTTTCTCTCTTTTTTTAACCACTTAGCGCTTCCAAGTGTGTTCTTTATTCAAGATAATCTTACTGTTACGTATTTTAATCGTGAAGAATGAATATACATATATGTACATGTATTTATTTTTACGATTTTGTTTTTTTATAATAATAATAATAATAATAATTATTATTATTTTATTATTTTATCATATACACGAGAAAGAGAAGAGTCACGTAGTTCGTTCGTTCGTTCATTCTTCATCTAAATTGCATTGTTTACAATTTTTTCATTGAAATAATACTAAATGGATGAAAATTTTTTAAGAATATACTGACTTATGATGAGAGTTCTTAGAAATTGTTTTGATATTCATAGGAAATACAATAGGTATTTAACGCGCTATTTCGTAAACTGTAATTCTTGACTTATTGTCAAGTAAAAAACTTATGCTTACATTTACATTTTTAATGTAAGAGAGGTAGATTTTTTTTTAAATTAAATTTTATAATTTTTCACATCGACGCGATTATTTTCTTTTTTTTTGTAATTTATTTTTCTATGTCATAATCGCATTTAAATTAGATATCCAATTTGTAGCTTTTTAAATTAAAGTCTAAAAATACTAATTTGTTTTGAAAACAAACGATGTTACAGTTTGTGCATCAATGAAAGTATTAATTATGTTCGTTTTTACCTACTGAGTCGACTACAGCGCATTTTATTGCAAAATAAACGAGAAAATGATGAAGCAAATATTTGGCGTGCTTTGGTTATTTAACATCATGCCATCTAGCGTGAAAATAATCAAATTAAAGACTCATCGGATAAAAGAAGTTCGTTGTTTTGATTATTTCGAAAGATTTTTAAATTGCTATAAACAAAAATAAACATTTATACTATTGAAAATGATACTTCATATAAAACTTAACAATTATTAATTAATTTTTCTGTGCAATTATATAATTAAAATAAAAATAATAGAAAATAATTTAAGGATCCTAAACAATAGTATCGTAAAATATTTTATCAAATGTATACAAAGTTTCTTTACTTTGTTTATCTAAAGATAAAAAAGATTGGCAAATGTATATCGTGTTTCGTTTAGCTTTGTTTACAAGGAAATCATAAGAATGTATATATCTAAAATAACGCGGAAATAAAATCAAATTGTTTTCAAATAAAAAAATGCAATGAAAAGCAAAATCTTAAATAGTACTTACACATAACACGTTGTATAAAGGATGGAAGAAAGTGTTCGTTCGTTCTTTCCGACTCGACTCGACACGACGATGATTGTTTTAATTTAAAATTTACATAATCTTCTTAAATATTAACATATAATATGTACAGAAATAGATGCGTAAGTGTATAACTGTTAAAGGTTGAAAGAATGCTATTTATGATAGTAACCCGGACCTCTTCTTCTGCCTTAGTTGGGTTCCAGCTTTCGACTGTCGATCCGATAGTGCAAGCAACTGGATCTAATAACCACCATCGGAACAGTAGTCTTCTTCTTCTTCTTCTCTTCTCTTCTATTTTCTCTTTTTTTCTGATCGACCTATGGTCGACTTGGGTCATTTCTTTTACCAGATTGGTTTTATCTCTGACGCAGACCGTCTGTTACGCTTGCTTGCTTGCTTGTTTTACATAAACTTGATAAATCTAATAGCAACGAATCTTCATTGATCACGTGCACAAATACAATTTCGAACTTAAGAAAAGTTCATTCTTGATAAATGGTTAATAAAAAAAAATAAAAAATATATATATATATATATATATATGCTAGCGTTG